TTAGAAATTACCAAACTCTTCTTGCCATGTTTTAAAAAATTATATAATCATATTTTATAGATTTATGATTTCTAGTCTTAAGAAGTGTCTCAGCCCTAGATTGTGGATGTAGCCTCTCGAATTTTCTCATAGAAGTTGTATTTTCAAATTTTCACATATTTTTTGTACCATCTAGAAGCAATTTTTAAATCAAAAATTTTAAATGGGTTTATTTTATTTTCTTCAAGTCTGACAGACACTGTAATAGCATCATTTATTTCATAATTTACCACTTTCTCAATGAATTAAAATAATTTTATCTTCAACTAAATTCCTTTGTTTAGCAGACTCAATTTTGGATTCTTTTCTCCATTAATCTACTTGCCTATTCTTGTATCAATGTTTTATTGATTCATTACAATGATTTGATAGTGTAATCTGACATCTGGTAAGGCACGTCTCCTCTCATTTTTTAATTCAAAAAACATCTTGTCACTTTTTGCCCCATATAAACTAAGGATCGCATCATCCAAACTTTAAAAACAATATACATGTACAATACATGTATACATGAATTTTTGGAGCATTAACTCTTTTTATTTGTATTCTTTCTGTCTATCCATCCTGCATCCATCCATCCATCCATCCATCCATCCATCCATCCATCCATCCAAATTGAGACAGGATCTTGCTCTGCTGCCAAGGTTGGAGTGCAATGGCTAACTACAGCCCACTGCAATTTCAACTTCCTTAGTACCACCACAGCCTCCTGAGTACCTGGGACGACAGGTGCACACCACCATTTCCCTGCAAGATATGGTGTCTCGCTATGTTGCCAGGACTGATCTCTAACTCCTGGGCTCAAGAGATCCTCCTGCCTTAGCCTCACAAAGTGATGGGGTATGAATCTCTTCACTCCACCCTCTTTTTATAATATTAATTATCTCTGCCTCGAAACAAATATGTCTTCCCTTTTGTTCAAATCTTCTTGTGTGTCCTTCAAAAAGATTATAATTTTCTTTCATTTGGAAGTGTGCTTTTTGTTAAATTTATTACTAAATATTTTATATAATTTTAGCTGCTTTTGTGTATAGCCTATTTTTTCCCATTTCCCTTTCTAGGTACTATTGGGGCTCAGAAAACAATACCCTCAAATGAAGGACTAAGAAGCAGCCTTAGAAGCAAAGTTACCTTCTGACCACCTCTTTACCTCCTGTCTCTCATTCTCCTCAGAGGCAAGATACTAGAATCCCTCTTCCCCAAGGTGGGTCATAGAAACCAGTACCCCTTTTCTCCAAAGCCAGCTTTAAAGCCCAAAATATTACTCTAACCTCTCCCATAGAAACCAGAACCTTTTTTCTCCAAAGCCAGCTTCAAAGCCTAAAATACTACTCTAACCTACGCTACTTCTTTCTGTAGTAGATGGCCATAACAAAATTAAGACACTCATTCCACAGAAGTCCTACCTTGATACCCAAGAGAAAAGAATGCTGCATACAGAGCCTTATTGAGTTCCCCCAACTCAGTCAGTTGATCAAATAAATTTGCTATTCTTTTCTCTTGTCAACCTCTCTTTGTTATAGGGGTATCAACAGTGACTCTTATGTTGGAAAAGAAAGGGATTACTTCCTTTTTGTCCCTAGAGTTCTTCTATTCTGAATAGAGTTTTAAATTTTTATCTAACCATCTTATCTTATTACTTTTTAAGTATTTTGAGTTTTGAACTCTTCAGTAAATCATTATAAGAATAATATTCTAATCTTTCATTAGCCTTTGTCAGACCTTTAAAAAATGTAGAGAAATAATATTTATAAAAGTTAAATCCTATTTACATCCTAATTTTGTCTTAAATAATTCACATTTTAGGAAAATAATTACTGCTTGTCCTTGATTGCAAATATTTTACATTTAAGTAGTTTCCTTATATTTAACAGAAATTTTAATAAGAATAGCTAGCTGATTATTGTCATGCTTATCAATCTATCATTGATTAAGAACTGACATAGAATGTCCTGTTTTCATGAAATAAACTTCATTAGGCCATAGCTATTACTGTTTTAATTAAATGACAGGTGCATTAGATATATTACTATTTCCTTTACAATTTTTGTATTTCTATACTTCAGCAAACTTAGACTTTTTTCCATTTTATACTGTCTCTATCAAGATACGGTGTTAGGCCAAGCATGGTGGCTCCTATCTATAATCCCTAGTCCTTTGAGAGGTTGAGGTAGGATGATCACTTGAGCTGAGGAGTTCAAGACCAGCCTGAGCAACACAGGAAGACCTTATCTCTACTAAAAATAAAAAATTAACCAGGTGCATACCTGTTGTCCCAACTTGAGAAGCTGAGGCAGAAGAGTCACTTGAGCCCAGGAAATAGAGGCTGCGGTGAGCTATGATGGCATCACTGCACTCCAGCCTGGGCAATAGAGTGAGAGCTTATCTCCAAAAAAAAAAAAAAAAAAAAAAAAGATGGGTATTAAAATTATGCTAGATTCATAATATTAACTGAAATAACTTTCCAAATTTACCATGGTCAGAATTAGTGTAATAGGCATTGCTTTTTCCATTTTTTTTTTCCACAATTAGATAACTGCAAATCCATCTGGTCAGAGCTTTTTTTCTACATACTTCAGTTATCTTCTAATTTCTATTATGGTAATGACATTCAAATTTTATAAATATTAATCAAATTTTATATTTTGTTAGGATATTAATATCAATCATTTTATCTAGGTTTTATAAGTTACCAGAGTTGCAGTTGTATGATCTTATGACGAACTTACGTGTGTCTATGGTTAGTCTTCTCTCTCAATCTTATTCACACATTTTAGCTCTAGTAATCAGGCTCAAAAGCGATTTTGCTATTTTCAAAGAATGATCTCTTGGGATTGTTTATCCTTTCTATTTTTTCTTCTTTTTTTGTTTATAGTTTCCTTGATTCTAGCTTTTATCTGTATTAATTCCTTCTTCTTGGCTTCCTCCGATTTGTTTTCTTGTTCTTATCTAATTTATTATGTTCGACAAAGAAATCATTTTGTCAATGAAGTAAAAAAGTCTCAAGACTTAAGCCAAGGCAGTAATATTTAATACAATGAGATTATGAGACTAGGGAGTAGAATGTATGTCCCAGGTCTCTTCCAATAAAGTCGTTTATGCTTTTTAGAAAATCACTTCATCTATCTGGCTAATAGTTTCCACATCTATAAACTGAAAAGAATATATAGTCTGATAGTTCCTGTTAAGTTAAAAAAAAATTACACATGATAATATTTGTAAACTTTCAGCTCCATTTGAGAAAGTGGGGTGTTTAAAGGAATAAGAGACATTGAAACACCTGAATTAGGAATCATTGCCTTAAGAAACAACAATATCTTAGGAAAATTCTATTTTTCTATGACAGCAAAATATGACTGGCCCTCCTGATCTGTGTATTCCACATCAATTGATTCAACTAACTGCAGATCAGAAAAAAAAGTGCATCTATACTGAACATGTACAAAACTTTTTTTTTGTCATTATTCCCTAAACAATAAAGTATAACAACTGTTTAAACAGCATTTGCTTTGTATTAGGTAAGTAATTTAGAGAAGATTTAAAGTATATGGGAGGATGTGTATAGGTTATGTGCAAATACTATGTCATTTTATATAAGGGACTTGAGCAAACATGAATTTTGGTATCCACTTCTCCTCAGGTACAAAGGAACTGTACCTGTTGTATAAAAAAAACTGTTGTATAAAAGAGGCCTATACTTTATGAATGTTCACATCATAATCCAGTGAACTCATACAATGTTTCACAAATGTGAATGCTCTAATAAAACTTCTTCTTAAAGAAGGTGCACCTAAGTTACACTGGAGAAGACAGAAAGATTTAAAACATTAATATTTAGTACCACGTCATTAAACCACAACTTCATATTATTCTTGGAAGAAATGAAATAATCTAGGGTCAAATGGTAGGTTTCAGGGGCTCCACAACTCCTGTGATCTTGCAAATAAAAGCATATGTTTATATATTTACAGTTTTATGGGGAGAGTTATATGGGGAGAGTCTTATGGGGAGAGTCTAACATTCATTAGATTTGCAGAGAGTTTGGGACCTGAAAAAGGATGTAAGTACTATTCTAGATGACGAATTGAACTTTCTATTCTTAGTGACTGATTAAAGTTTTCCACTGTCATACTTTTGGAACTTTCACCAAAGAGACCATTTTGTTGTTGAACAGCTACAACTAGTGAAAACTCCAGTTCACATCAAGTCAAAATTACCTCTAAAATTCCCATCTATTTTCTTGATTCCAGTCTCTGATAAAGAACAGAATAAAACCATTTCCCATTCCTGAAAACAGTCCTTTACGTATTTGAAGAGAGCCATCTTAGCTCCAAGAAGTTTTCCTCTTATAGGATGATGCCTTTATACAACATATCAGGTAAACTCTACTCCCTAATTCAAAATGTTTCTTTAAAGGCAGATGGTTTCACTACTCATTCAGATAATATTTTATATTTTGAAAAAGTTCTTTAGTTATAGCTGACTTTTTTTGATAGAAGAATGGATCACTCTAGATTTACTTGTGAATTTCAGAAAATTCAAAGGAATCAATTACATTATATTAATGTATATGTCCCCATGAGTTCTGCAGAATTCTCACATACTCATTTACTTTGCTAAATTCTTAGAAATGAACTCATAAAAATATTTAAAAATTATTTTTTGGCCATGAGATATTGTCAAAATATTATTTGTAGATGGATTCCAACCATTTTCAATCTTGTAGGTGGAAGTCATTTTTGTATTTCTTTATATGGATCCAGAAGGGATAATTGGAAAATAGCATTACTTTAAATGGTACTAAAATCATCATTTACATTAATTCCTTTTGGGGAAAAAAAGGGAAAATATTTAATGGAGTAAAATATAGCCCATGCAAAGCAGAACAAATTCCAAGGTGATAAATCAAGCTCTGTAAAATCAGAACCAAAATTAAATAAATATACAAGGGTATTACTTACGGATACAACTCTGAAAGATGTTCAGCTAATACATAAGCAGTAGGGTCTCTGTCCAAGGCATACAGGACAATATCTGACTCCTTCTGTAGAATGGCTTTTGTGTGTCCTCCCGAACCAAATGTCATATCTAGAAAAATCTAGCCAACACAGAAAAAGAAAATTACAACTTAGCATAAACAAAACTTATTCTTGACAACTATCTCAATTTCTAGAAGCACACAATGATTTTCAGAGTTGACAGTAAATAGGAAAATAATTACAATCGTTTTTCCCATAATTGAATTTGTTATATATGAGATCTGGCTCAATTATGAGTGATCGATCCAAAAGCAGTGATCAGAGTATCAGTAAAATAGCCTCTGACACAGACTGGCTAATTCAAGACAAATTTATATGTCTCTCTATAAGGTCAAACTGGTCAGTGCTCCCAGCTCTTTAACATGTCCAACACCCAGCTGGTAATAACATTTTTAATAATTTTCATTTGGAGATGGCTTACAATTGGTGTGGTTCATTTTATCTCAATTTCTATTAATGTTTTAAATGAAAATTAATGATAAAAAGAGAAAGAGAAATAGAATAAACATCCTTAATAATAAATATGCACAGGACAAATCAGATAAAATCTGAAAAACTGACAAACATACAGATTATATATGTAATAACAAAATAACAAATATGAACTGAAAAAAAAAAAAGCTTTTCAAGTCAAAACACCTAGGGTAAATTCTAGGTCTGACACTAAGTAGCTATGTCTTTGGGATAGTTACTTAAAGTCACAAAATACCAGTGTCTTTAGCACTTAAAAAGAAAATGAAGAAGAAAAGAATACCATCACCACTTGCCTAATTGATAAGCTAACATGTCATTTCTCATGTAAATCAAAACACTTTTGAGAATAAAACATTTGCCAGTAGTAATTTTTCCAGGAAACAGGATAGAGTGTACTTGAGAACGTATCACTCAATGCTTGGCTCATTCCAGATATAGAGTACAGTTAATTGAATCTGAATTTACTTCTTGGCTATATTATTTGGCCATACTCTAAAGAGAATAGTCAGGTCACAGTTGAGCAAGAAACCAGACCTGGACCATAAGAAACATATGTGTGTACAAGTTAGTTGATTGTGCAAGACAAGACATTTTCCATGTATTCCCTCAAAGTTAGGCTCTTAAAGGGCCCTTACAGTAAACTTCACTGGTGTTATGCAAATAAAAACAATTAATAATATTGACTACAGTGACAAATAACATAAATCTATTGCCTAGACTTAAAAAATATCTAAACATACAGTTTTCTTAAAGTTCATGTGTAAGGTACATAAGAAGAAATCCATCCGTGTCATGGATTTGAATATGTCTCTGCTCTGAATGTTTCCACTTATTTCAGAGAGAGTGGTCAGAAACTGGGCATGCAATTAAGCTTTGATTTTTTGGCTCCTATCTACCATGCTGAGTCCCATACTCTGATCAAGTCCTAATAAAAGTTAGCCTGCTATTGAAAGAATAACATGGAGGAAATCTTCTGATCAAAATTGGAGGATGGACATAAAATATAAAAAGATACAAATGCGGTAAAAATGTACAAGCATTGCTTTTCAGCACAAATGTTTTAGTGTAACTTAACTTTGAACTTCTATCACTGTCAGCACAAAAGGCATGGCAAAATATATTTTTCACTATTTTTAAACAGTATCTTTTTATTTTTAGAAACAAATCTCAAGATCATAATTTCCTTTGCTAATCACTTATTTTATACGTCTACAAATCGGTAAAAATCTTCCAATAGGCTGGGCACAGGGGCTCACGCCTGTAATCCCAGCACTTTGGGAGGCCGAGGTGGGTGGATCACAAGTTCAAGAGATCGAGACCATCCTGGTCAACATGGTGAAACCCCGTCTCTACTAAAAAACTACAAAAAGTTAGCTGGGCATGGTGGCGCATGCCTGTAGTCCCAGCTGCTCAGGAGGCTGAGGCAGGAGAATTGCCTGAACCCAGGAGGCGGAGGTTGCGGTGAGCTGAGACCGCACCATTGCACTCCAGCCTGGGTAACAAGAGCGAAACACCGTCTCAAAAAAAAAAAAAAAAAAAAAAAATTTGCCAGGCGTGCTGATGCACGCCTGTAATCCCAGCTACTGAGGAGGCTGAGGCAGGAAAATCGCTTGAACTCAGGTGGTGGAGGTTGCAGTGAGCCAAGATCACACCAGCTTGGGCAACAGAGCAAGACTCTTGTCTCAAAAAAAAAAAAAACTTCCACTATACATCTGTTTAAAACTTTTGAGAAGTTCAACATAATTTAACCAAATAATATTTTTCCCAGGTAAAATAATAAACTACGTCCTTGTCATGGGATCAATACCAAGCCTTGCAATAACTGGACTTAAACTAAAAGTATATTAAATAAAACAAGTTAGATATGATTACCCTTATCCCAAGACAAGTAAGTACCAATCAATATTTAAAGGAAAATCAGCATCATTAGCAATAGTCTGAAAAATGTGAGTGATTATAATTTACATGATTATTTTTTAATATATCGTGATTATGCCCTTGAAGAGGTACTGACAATCAAGAAAGTTTCCACAGGGGGAAAAATATATTATTACCAGTCATATGTAACACAGAAAGCAAAAAGTGCAGACAAATGGAATTTATGAAATTAGAAGCAAAATCCACCATAAGTCCTGAGTTAATACATGATTGGAGCCATCAACTCTCATTTTTACAATTCTAATATTCATTGTTCATCACATGTAATAGTGATACTTTGGCCTCATGAGCCACCTAGCACTACAATTGAAAAAGTAGAATTAGTTTTTCCCTTCCTCTAGGTCACTAACATAAGATCACAGTTTAAAATCTCTAAGAGTTGCAAATAAGGTAACTGGTCAATTTTTGTGGTTAACAAAGAAATGCACAAGAACAAATAAATCTGAATGTTTCAAAGTAACCCTTCTATGGATCTCATATATATATATTTCAAATGAATATTTTGTGCTCCAAACATATATGGAATTCCTTCTTTGAAATTACCTGATATATCTTAAAAAACCCTCACATCTGATACTAAGTTTATTCTGGTTATGTCACTGACTACCTATATAACCCTAAACAAATCACTTGAATTCGTTAGGCTTCAATTGTTTCATCTAAGAAGAAATGGGAATAAAAGATACCCCTGTTTATCTCACAAAGATTTATAAAGGTTACCTACGTCATCATTACAATCATGAAGGATGTGTCATTAGATGTTACATATACACTTTACAAACTAAGATTGCACTAAACTAGTAAGTGGCAAATGCAGGAATTGAATAGAGATGAATCTGGACTTAAAACCTGTGTTCTTTCCCACCATTCTGTGTCTTATTAAGACAAGAAGTCTATATCTGCATACTGCTTTATGGTTTACCAAGCATTGATGTTTTCCTACTTGGTCTAACAAACACTCTCTGAGGGAATTAGACAACTGGCATTATATCCATTTTCACACACACACACACACACACACACAAAGGGAAACTCAGGTGCAGAGAGAAAATGTCATAGTAAGTGAGGGGAAATGAAGTCCAAACCAGGTCTCGCCAACACTAAATTCTCTGTTCTTTCTGAAAGAAGAAAGAAAGACGAAGAAAAGGCGAATGTGAAAGAAAACAAAAAATGTAAGACATAATTGGCGTTCAGAATCAAAATGAGTGATTTAAAGTAAACAAACAAACAAACAAAAACAAACAAACAAACCAGTGTTTGAGGAAAAAAAGTTTCCTGATTTCTACAATCCCCTGACTTTATCTCCAATTTAATAGGGCAGCATCAGTGCAAAACAGTAGATTAAGTAATGTGATATAAATAAAGGAGCTCAGCCTCCCAAAGTAACTATGTTAAAATAACAATGTTCATTTGTGCATTTGAGTCTAGAAACATTGTTCAATATGTAAGACTGATTACCATAGGACAACATAGAGTAGTTTTCGTTCTTCAAAATATAAGACCCATTCATCACTAAAGGACCACATAAAGTAGAATTATAATTCAGCTCAAGATATCCAACTTTTTATATAATTATTTTGTGTATGGTTTGCTATAAATGTCCACCTATTATCTGTAACAGTTACTGATAAGACTGATTTACTGACAGGTTACAGATTCCAATTTGACTCTGAAATTAAAAAAAAAAAATTTAGACTCATAGGTGGTTAAAGCAATCAAGACCCATGGAAAAAATGCACATTTAATTCATTTATTGTACATACTATTCCACCTTTCTAAAGAATACATAGCCCTATACTTTCATACCACTCGAATTTGGTACCCTTTAAGATACTCATCTCAGACTCCTCTCTGAAAATGAAGATTGACAAAAATCAAGGCATTTACCCAGGATCATCTTGCAGAGACTGGATAATTAAATTATTTTTTTTTTCAATCCAATCATTCTAATCACTGAAATTTTCACACTGGAACAACACTGTTGAAATTGAACATGAAAACATTTTTAGCCATAAACAAGGGCAGATCTTCTAATTTCATTTCCCCAATGTTGATTAGTCATTTTCAATCTGTGCAAGATTTTTAATAGTAGGTTCCCATCTTAATTTGGAAACAATATGGCCTGACTTTAATTTAAAATTTCTTCCTATGAATATTTTCTGGCAATTGCTAATTTTGAATTTTTAGAATTAAGCTTTTTTTTGAAAAAATTTTAGTTAAACTGCACCTATTTGCAACTAGTTGCATTTTGGACCACTGAAAGGTGCCATGCACATGCTTAACTGTATGGATTTTCTTTTTTTTCAGGAGGTCATTAAAAATGTTGGGCATTAATTAAGCATCCGTATATTTACTGAGCATTCAGTATAAAGGAGATGATAACAGGTAGAAATTACATTATAGGCTTCCAGTCTGATGAGGGTCTTTAGCATGCAAACAAACAGCTATAAGACTAGTTAAAAAAAAATCAGCAATATAAGAAAGATATACATAACATTCCACAAGGAGTCAAAAACCAGAAATTTATTCCAGTTTGTAGCATGATAGACTAAACTGGAGGAGGTTACAATTCAATTGATCTTTGAATGCTAGGCAGAACTCGGAGTTCACCTTATCTTCTCACTCTCTCATATTCTTCAAACCCAAT